GGTTTTGATCGGAGGATTTGACCCACGCGAGATGAATTGAAGACCCAATTTTTCTCTGGCACTTACCGCAAACAGAATGTTGTGGGAAGCCACGAATGGTTTTATACGGATTTTTAAAAATTAACATTAATTTGATAATCAATCACTAGAGACGTCATCATGACGCAATTTAGTATAATCTTGAATGCGTGCATAAAGTCAATGGGCAAAAACAGGCAAAGCCTTTTCGCAAAAATGCGAAAAAGCAAAAAACAGGATAAAAACAATGTCTTTTACAAAAAGCTGCGAAATAGCCTCAAAAAACCTTAACAAAAAGAACGTCTTTTCTTCAACTTCTTGAAAAGTCAAAAAATTCTCGATGAAAAGAATACCTTTTCCGCGACCTGCGGAAAAGCCAAGAAATCCTAAGAAGAACAAAAGCTGTTTCTGCCGGTGTCCAAAACAGCTTAAAAAAACTGAACTTAAGTAAAGCTTTTTCGCAAAATTGCGAACTTGCAAGGAAAATAGGACAACAAAATCTTATTACCAAAGTTGCGAAAAAGCTGAAAAATGTAGAGATGTAATGACTCTTTCGAAAAATGCGAAAAGGCCAAAAAGAACAGAAATAACGCCTTTTTCACAAAATTGCAAAAAGCCATTTAAAAATAACAAAAGAGACTTTTTTTCGAAATTTGCGAAAAGGCAAAAAAAAAAGAATGGCTTGTTGGCAAAATGCGAAAAAGCCGGAAAACAAAAGCAATACTGTAGCTGCTTCAGCCCGGCAGTACATCGAAGCAGCTGATGACTCTTCACCCTCACTACCTACATCTTCTTTTACTTACAATCTCCTTTGCTATGGTCTACATCGGGCCCGCTGACTCCAGTGTACGTTGAACCTCTATTGAGTATCCAGTCGAAGTCATCGTTTTGACTGTTGTTGTACGCACAAAAGGATTTGGAATCAAAATCGCACTTCAGATCTGAGAAGGAGGCATACGAGCCTGAGGACAAACAAAGATTTTGATAATAAAGGGACCATGAAATAGAAATGTTTCAGTAACGTTTATTGAAACCCTCGAAGCTGTACCTTTGGGTTTCAACTGACCTGATTTTAAATGTTAATTTTGCAATTTTAATCCATTTGGGGAGCTTTTTGGTTTTTATTCTAATGCACATTTTCATATTTCTCAGTAACATTATGGTATCCAAAGCACAAAAACCTTTAGATATTGCATTGATATGTGCGCAAAAGAATGCTAGATGTTTGTAAACAAACACTGTCGTAGATGACATTTCCTTTGGCAATAAGTCGAAAAGCAACCTTTTGTGAGTAACGTTTTCTACAAGCACATTTGGAGTTCACAATGATAACATGCAAACAGTGTCCTTTGTCTTTCTTAACATCAATGCAAAAGCGCCCCCTCTTGTCCAGAAATGCTTGGTCAATTTTCATTGTGTAGAAAATTCACTTTTCAGATCATGTAACTCAGAGAGTGTGTCATACAGTCTTCATACGTTAAAGATGGGAAGACAAATACAAAAAGTAATTCTAAAAAAAGTTCATCGCATGTATCCTGTAGTCTACAGGCCAAAACTTATTTTGAAATTAGCTTATAAGAGTTTACTTAATGTATGTACATCAAAAAGTTTTTACCGCTCATTGCCATCGGAGGCCAAGGCCGCACTGTCCTAGACCAACGCCAGTTATTAAACACATACATATTTTACATAATAGCGGGTGATTTTATGTAAAATACACGGTTTTCTGCATACATAATTCATCTAGATGCACACAACATCTGTCTTGAATGACAAGGAAATATACCTATGTATTACGCGTGAAAAAATAACCAATTGTAAGTTTCACTAATTAATTGCTTGGAGTGCAACATAAAACAACCTGATAAAAACAAAGTCGACTGGACATGATTATTTCCTGTTTGGCAGGTGTTGAAAAGCTCATTTTTCTTTCATGAAACAATGTACGGTTAGAGAATTAGTCCCCACCCCACAAAACTGCCACCGTAAGATGAGAAAAATAAAATTGTTTTAATTGCTGTCAATAGGCCTACGTACAAACAGTTCCCCCAAAAATCATTTTTAAACTTTTGAATTACAAGCACAACATCCCAAGAGCTGCTGCCAATTGATTCCCAACCAAAAATAAGTCAGAAAGTCAATATTTAAGAAATAGTTGCACATGCAGTGCCCCCCCACAAGAAGTAAACAAAAAAGTCGGGAGTGCTTCTACATATTGACAATACATGTCATTTCTCTCGAAAGGCACAAAGAGCACTTCATGCTAACCATAAATTTATGACATATGAATGACAATCACAAAAGGCAATCCGTGTCAATCCTGTTCCATGCATGGTGACACAGGGGAAGCTTTCGCATGCAGACGAACATCATGAGCTGCCACTCGGCGTACACGCCTTAAGTACCGACCATTCGAAAAATTGGGGTGTATCAAATTTTCAAGATTTGAAATGTTTATTATAGTAGGTGCACCTTCTTTTCACCGCGAGAAATATATCTTAACCTAACGGCAAACCATACGTACTGCATTGCCTTTCCAAAACGACGATGTCGTCAAT